GGCTCTTAATTATTTTTTTTCCCAATGGATCAGCCTCTGAAAAGAACAAAAGGTTACTTATCCTGTCATAGGGTGAGCTATTTGGCTCTGGTTCCCCTTTGGCTCTGGTTCCCGTTGAATTAACAGTGCTTTTCACGGGTAAGGCAGTGTGGAAATGTGAGAAAAGTGTGTCAAGGGATAAATGAAATGGCACATATGAAACCATTTAATTGAACTGCTACAAAGGTGTTTAATTGCACCTGGGACATCTTTGTTTGCCTTTAAGCAAAGGGTCCTTGTTGTCTTTGAAGGGTTCTGATTTCCAGGATGAAGAGGTGTTCTCTAAGTTTGGACAATGTGTTGGTTAAAAGCCATGAAGTTCCCTTTCTAAATCCTCTGAAGATTCCATCTGTGCATGGTTGCTTTTGCCAACTGGTGGGCACTGGTGGGGGTTTGTCCTGCTGCTCCTCTTACTGCTTTTCCCCCCGTTTCCATTAGATTTTATTAAATCAGAATAGGGATAATGTAAGGTTTTTATTGGAAAATTTATTATTATTTTAAATGGAAGTTCATGTCCCTGTTAGGGGGTAGCCATCAGCCCAGCCTCATTGGATGAGTTGCTCTGATTTGAACAGTCTGGTTAAAGCCCTGGTTTTGCTGCGCTTTTCTCAGCCTCGGACAGTTAGTTCATAGCCCTTAATTTGCTCAGTACCAAGATGCCTGTAGTCTAGCATCACATGGAAATGCAGTGATCCCTCATCTTTCTTGGATGTAGTTCAAAATAACTGAGGCTTACGGGTGGACATGAAATAAGGAAACTCCCTAGGCACGTAAGACCGTCTGCCCCGTCTCACGCGGGCGCTTCCTGCCATGGTTATTTAAGGAGTCCGCCTCCTCCCGCTCTAACGCCCTGGAGTTTGCGCAGATGCTGGCTCCTGGACCTCGTAGAATTCCAGAGTGGTTTCTTTGTCACACTTTATTCATCACCCAGAAAGAAAAATGTCTCTTGGTCCCTTCAGGGTAGGAAGAGAGTCATCTTTATTTATTGATTTTTGTTCTGTTTTTTTTTATTTTAATTTTTGCTTTATTGTTACATGAATGACTTGGCTTCTCCCTGTTTTTACACGTGGCCTTGAGTAACATGTATTCTGTGCATGTAACTTGATTCTGGAATCATAAAACTTGTTCTCTGGTTTTTCTTATTGAGGAACAGTATTATCCCTCAGTAAGAATGAATGTATTTAAAAATTATATTATGGGGAAAAACAATGAAAACGTGTCTTATAGATTCTAGAATATTTAATAACATTTTGAGTTACAGGATGAAGTTGTGGCCCTTTGTAATTCTTTTGCTGGGGGAAATTTTGTAAAGCAGAAATAACTCCTGAAACCCTAAATGATCCAGTTGGTTTGTCAGAATTCCGTTCAGCTAACAATTATTGAGCACGCTGTGCTGTGTAAATCATTATAACGAATTTAGGCTGATAATACAGAAAAAATGAAATGGTAAAAAAGGAAGATACCCAGTGAGGCTAAGTACATCTTTAGTCTCTAATCAGTCATGATTGTAAACACCCTAAAATTTCATTTACTCAGATTCTTTTCTTCAACCTAAGCTCATCAGACTCAAAAATTTTCGAGAACTCAAACTAGATATCATGCCAATAATTTCAGTCTGTTACAACTGTGTTAGAGGTTAATAAGGGGGAATGGGAAAGGTAAAAGGAAAGCAATATATTAGAAGGTAGAACAAACAACTTAAAAAAAAAGTAAACACATAAAGGTAGGTTTGACCTTTTCAATATAATATATAAGATTATTATTATTATTCTTTCAGCAAATACTTATTTAGATCCTATTCTGGGCCAGGCTTCTCTGTGTGCCTGGTATATTATCACAGACAAAACGCCTTTGCCTGCATGGTGCTCACGTTCTATTGGGAGAAGAGCAAGGCATTAAATAATAAGCATACTACACATGTAACTTATGTAGAATGTTTAAAGGTGGTAAGTGCTATAGAAAAAGAACAAACGAAGTGGGGGAAGCAGAATTGGGTGTGTTAAACAGGTTGGAAAGGATGGAACTTACAGATAAGTTGCCTTCTGAGCCAAGCCGAGGGAATTGGACTGGCGGGGAAATCTGCAGTGAGAGCATTCCTGGAAGGAAGAGCAGCTAGTGCAAAAGCCCTAAGGTGGAAATACGTCTGGAGAGTTTGAGGAAACCAGGGAGGCCAGAGCAGTGGAACAAACAGGGGGACTCTTGTTGGGAAGCCGATGGTGTTGGCCTTGTAGCCACATGAGGAGTGAAGTGAGGAGCCCTCACAGCATTTTGAGCAAAGGAGTTTCTGTATCTGAGTTACGATTTTAGCAATACTACTCTGGCCTCTGTGAGGGGAGGTGTGTTTAGAGGGCAAAGCTGGAGGACAGGGACCTGGAGTGTTGGGGCCTGTTGGAGTGTTCCGGGTGGAGGTGACTTGGATCAGCGTGACCATAGTGGAGGTGCTGAGGATGGCCATGTCCTGAATATGTTTTGAAGGTGGACCTAAGGGGACTTTCTGAGGCATTGAATGTGAACTGTGAGGGGCAGAGGGAAGCCAACTTGTGATGCAGGAGGAAAACCGAGAGTGTCGGTGCTGCAAGCAGGAGAGAGGGAGTGACTGTATCGGATGCTACTGGCTGGTCCAGAAAGATGAAGGCGAAGAATCAACTGTTGGTTGTAGTGAGAGCAGGGGTCACTGATGACCTTGATTTATGGTGACGTTGGCTAGAGAGCAGTTTCAGTGAATGGTAAGGGCCTGAATGGTGTGGATTCAGCTGAGAGAGGATGAGGAGAGGACCTGAAGACAGTATAGACAACTCTTTTTGAGGAGTTTTACCAGAATGGACAGCAGACAAATGAAGCGGTAGCTGATGGGAACTGGAGTCAAGAGAGGTTTGCTTTTGTTTTTGTTTTTAAATGGGTGAGTTAACAGCGTGCATCTATACCAGTGGGGATGGTTCAAGAGAATGAGGGAAGATGCAGGAAAGGAGAAAAATGAGTAGGGGGATCTGGTGAATGAATGAGTGGAGGGATCCACGTTAGATCTGAGAAGACTAGTTCATCCTTGCTAACAGGCTGGAGGCAGCAGAATAATTTAAAAGATTGGTTAGATGAGGGGTGGCTGATTGCTTAAGTGTCCTGGGAAGCAGGGTGTCAGCTGAGAGTAAAGATGGGACAGGAGGTGCTGAAGGTTCAGTACAGATAAAGGAAGCATATGGGTTGGGGGGGGGTAAGGGACAGTGAAAATCTGGCAGAATCAGTGGCTTAGAGTTCCCAGTGGAATCCAAGGATTGTTGAGATGGTGGCATTAGAGGGAATGAATGGAAGGGATGGGGGGAGGCGGTGGTGATGTTGACAGATGGGGATGCATGAAATTAAGATTGTGAGGAGCTGATAAGGTCCAGAAAGGACCATGACAGTGAGTGGCTGAGGCAGGGCAGAAGACAAGTTAAGGAGAAGAGTTGAAGAAATGGAGGATATGAATGTATCAATATTGAAATTGCGAAGAATTAGGAGTTTTTTGGAAAGAGTGACAGTGGAGAAGGAACTAAAACCTTCAAGAAGTGATGGGGAATGGCAGAGGTAAGTAGATGACTGTAGTGGTGGGGAGTCAGTGCTGGCACATTTCAGGGACAAAGAGAGTGGGGAATGATTTGGAAGTAGCAGTGAGGGGCAAGGAGCCTGGGGTAGAAGGGCTGTAAGAGAAGCAAAGCCACTGCTTGGGAGGGCTGCAGGGAGGGCCGAGTTCCCAGAGGCCGGCCAGGTGTCAGTTAGATCAGAGAGGCAAGCCTACCCAGAGGTGATATTGGGCATGTAGGTGATAGTGTAGTACAGATTACATCACCAATGGAAGGATCTCAGGAGTTAAGGAGTTAAGGAAAGTGAAAAACATGGCGGTATGCAGAGTCTTACTGAGGTTAGAGTGAGAGAGTGGAGGGGAACCTGAGAGTCTGGGGTGTGTGTGTGTATGTGTGAGTGTAGGGCATGTGTGTGTGAACGTGTTTATAGACACAAGCAGGGATACAAGCATAGTGAGATGAGAGCTGGTGACATGGGGGGGACCAGGCTGTGAGTGCTGGGATGAATGGGTGTCTGGACTTACACCTGCCCTGGGGTTTGGACCTCTGGGGAAATGGAGGCTCAGTCCTCTGTGCAGGGCTGGCCCTGGGTCCCAGAGTTGAGGATGTCTGCTGAGGTGGAGGGGTAGAAGGCCGGGAGAGGATGCTGTGGATGTGGGGCCCATTCTTGCCCTGGGGAGGAAGACACACGCCAAGGGCTCAGGTCTTTTCCTTGACTCCTGCCCGGATAATAAGAGTAGAAGCTAGCACTCCTTAAGTGTTTACTATGTGCCAGAGTCTGTTCACTTTGAGTGAGTCATAAACAGTCTCTCAAAGTGAGTGTTTATCATTTTATTCCATGAGGAAACTGCTCAAGGTCACACAGCTACTCAATAGCAGAGGCAGATTCGAACCTAGGTCTCTCTACCTTTAATTGCAGCTCATTTACAATTAATTTAGTGGCATTTAGCCTCCATGATAAATATTCATGAAAAATGTCAAGGCTAAACTACTGCTACTTTTTGAGCCTTTTAGAATGTTCTCCGATGTTCTGGGGTTTATCTTTAAGTGTGCATGGCTTTGGCTTAGACTGCAAGTCCTTTTGGGCCAGGAAGTCTTCTCTCTTCTCACAGTTCTTATCCAGCACTGTCAGGGCCACATAGGGACTTAGTTCTTTGGTCAGTAAAAAGTACTAAAAAGCATTGTCTCTTGTCAGCTAATCTGCAGTCATAAAAAATATCTCACAGTAAGATGACATTTCCAAAGCACTTGGATGAACATAGGAAATTCAGAGTCAGTCATAGAAAGTTTGTAAGGTTGTGAAATACATGCACATACCCAGAGTGATAGACCTTGAAGCTTTGGTACATTCAGAAGATTTCTGAGGCTGCTCATCTTCTAACTGTCATTGTCCTTTTTTAATAGCTGAACAGGAAGACACTCAGAAGAAAACATTCACCTACTGGGTAAACTCACAGTTGGCAAAGGTGAGGAAAACAAGAACAACTTCAGCTGTAAATATATTTAAGTTACTCCTCCTACCTTCTCAGTTTGAGTCCCCAAAATGGCACTGGTGATGTGTAAAAGGTTCAAAGAATGTGCTGAATGCCACTTTGATCTTGTTTTGATACACTTGTTATTCTTTCCCAAGAAAAAGGACACTTTTGTTGAGGATATGGGAGACCGTGCTGTAAAAATATTTAAAGCAGCAATATCTCTTTCATCAGATGAAATTATAATAATAATGACTCATAGGTATTGAATGTTATTTGTTAGACACTGTCCTAAACTCTTTAAATGCAACGATAAGTCGTAAGTGACTTTACATCCTTGTGAGATAGTAGTATTCTTGTTTAAAGCACAAGGAAATGAAAGTACAGAGAAGTTATGAGACTTGCCCAAGGTCACACATCTTGTAAGTGATAGTGCTAGTGTACAAACAGGCATTCTGGACCCAGAGGCCTTGATGTTAATCACTGTGCCATCCTGCCTGTCAGTGATGCTAACTGCCTGAAATCACCTAGATAGAAAATGAATGAGCCTTTTCTCACAGGCCACCCAGCCCAAAGCTTGTCATTCTAAAAAGGGTAAATTCATAAACAGGTTACTCCAGAAATATAGTCTGCTCCCCAAATGGGTCACTGCTGGCTGAATCTGACTGTTTTAATGTCATTTCTATGCACAAGTTTTAACCTCTCAGTGAAAGCTGCAAGAGTATTATTGTTCCTTGGAGATTGCCAAGAGATGAATTAAGTTCATGACTTTTCTTGCTATGTTTTGATATGGAACTTCGTGTGTTCTCTATCAGTCTATTAATTAAGAAGAAAAGCACTACCAAATCTTAGCTGTTGGGAAGACATGAAGCATACTTATGAAATTCTTAAAGGTATTATGTTTTGGATCAAAGTTTGAATGATTTTTTGTGTGTGTGACTTTTTGCAGCACACCCCTCCATCAGTTATATCAGATCTATTCACAGACATTAAAAAGGGGCATGTCCTTCTGGACCTGCTAGAAGTACTATCAGGACAACAGTTGGTAAGATTTTTAAGAGACATTAAAAAACTTTTTGTTGATTAAAAAGAAAATCCCTATTTCTGAGTAATAAATTTTGCTTGAATTTCATAGCCTCGAGATAAAGGATCTAAGGCATTCCAATGTAGAATCAATGTAGAACATGCCCTGACATTCCTAAAAAACCAATCAGTGAGTATGAATTTCTTTTGAAAATCTATGGGAGAGTTAATGCTATGAAATATTTTCTCCTTTTAACCTGAATACTTCTTTTACAGATCAAGCTAATAAATATTCATGTTACTGATATTATAGATGGAAACCCATCCATTATTCTTGGCCTAATTTGGACAATTATACTGCACTTTCATGTAAGTAGTTTGATGGTGTAAAGATTATTTCTATTCTAATTACTGCAGTATGAAATAAGTATAATGCAGTAAGTGTGCCTTGATGCTAGATTCAGTTCTGATTTTCTTCCAGAAATAGGACACTCTGGAAATCTTGACAGGTAGAAAAATATAGCAGACTTTTTGCCATTTATGTTACTTTTCAAGTGACAGTCAAATGCTAAATTATCATGATATCCTGAATTATCCATATCAGCACTGGTCTGAATAGAACTTCCATGATCAGTTTTTGCTTACTGTTGTTTATTTACTCCCGCAAAAGAGAAAATAGAAAGCTTCTGGAGTAAATTTTTGAAAACTAACCCAGTAAACTTTGTAAAATCTCCCTATCTGGGTGGAGCTTTGTCTAACATACTCCCACATCTAGTTCTGTCCCAAGACTGACTCATCCATTATTTCATGCCACATATATTTTTGAACACCTACTATGTGCTAGCTCTTGTGCTAGGACACCAAGAAAATAACAATGAATAAGACTGTTATAGTCCGGACTTCATGAAATTAATGATAAATATATTCTTTGAGGTGAGGCCTGGGATTTTGAATTAGTATAGATTTTCTGCAGCAACTTTTCTCTGAAAAGTTGCATATTCTATATCTCATAGTTACTTTAAAAGTAACTTAATTATGTGGGAAACAAAAGCCTATTTTAGAAATAACTTAGAGCACAATTATATAAAATTTGAAACATGTAAAACCAGACTATTAATTCTGGATTTGTAGTAATAGTAGAATAATATGCCTAAGGATGATGAAACGTAAGTTTAGGTTTCTAGTTTTTTCCTCTGTGAAAGAAAGGAAATGGTACTGGAGAGGGAAAGACAGAAGGCTTAAACTGTATCTGTGTTTTATTTCTCTAATATGAACCAAATGTGATAAAATGTTAAAATTTGATCATTCATAGGCATTTATTATATTTTTTCTCCGTACTTTCCAGGGTAGTTGAAATACAATGAAAAATTTCCATAGAGATAATAAAAGGAGAATAAAATCATTTATAATTCCACCACTCACAGATAACCACTAAATTATTTGGTATACAGTCTTTATGATATATGCAGCAGGAATGAATATATTTATATATGTGTATCTTAAACAAAGTGGGGTCATTGCTATCTATACTGTTTTCAACCTGTCCAATGAACATACTTCTGAATTTATATATATTTTTTAATAGAAGCATTGTGTACTATTATAAAGTACTGTATTTCATTAATAGACAGTAAGAATGCTCATAGTTTTTTGTGACTGTAAGCAGTTCCAAAAAGACTACCCTTACACTAAAATGTTTACATTCAGCTTTATTTCTGTGGGCCAGATTCCTAGAAGTGGAACTGTTCAGCCATAAGTTTGCGAAGTTAAAGGTTTTGGGGGGTATGTTTTAATATTGTAAATTTTCACTGAAGTATAATACACATAGAGGAAAATGCACAAATTTTAAATGTAAATCTTGGTGAATTCTCTCATAAATCAAACACATCCATGTAGCCCCCACCTACTATAAAAATATAGAACATTGCTTGCATTCCAGGGTCCCCAGTTCCTTCTCCAAGTCCCTTCCTAAAGATAACCAACACTTTGACATCTATTATTGATTAGTTTAGCATCTTTAATTCCAAAGAAACAGAATTATAACTGAATTCACTTACATATACTGTGTACTATTTGTGTCTGACTTATTTAATATCATGTCTGTGAGATTCAGCCTGTGGAGGCATGTATCAGTGGGTCTTTTCATTGCTGTGCACAAACACATCTTTGCATGAACATATTATTTACTAGAACTTATTTACTATTCTACTATTCTACATCTTGTTTGTTGCCAGCTTTTAGCAATTATCTATAAAGCTGCTAGGCACATTCTTGTATATGCCCTTCAGTGGTACAAACCTTCATATCTGTTGTGTATACATTTAAGAATGGGATTTCTGGGTCACAGGGCATTTGACCTTCAGCTTTATTAGATAGTACCAACTAGTTTTTCAAATGGTGGCTCTGATTTACACTGTTACTAGAGTTTGAGAGCTCCTTGCTCCAATCCTCACTGATAACCTGTCATTTAAATTTTTTTATTTTAGTTGTGCTGTTCTGTGTAATGATTTATAGAAGTTTTAAAATATATTCTGGGTACAAGTCCTTTTTCAGGTATATGTAAATTGCAAATATCTTCTCTGACTCTGTGGCTTGCCTTTCCAATCTTTTAATGAACATTCATAAGTTTAATGTAGTTCACATTTATCAGCTTCTTTTCTTCTGTAGCTAGTACTTTTAAAAAAGATTTCTTTTAAAGAAATCTTTCTATATGTCAACATCATGGAAATATATATGCTTATGTTATTTCTTTTAATAGCTCTGTCCAATAGGACTTGCTGCAGTAATGGAAATGTTGTATAGCTGCACAGTACAAAACAGTAGCCCCTAGCCAACAGTGTCTATTGAATGTTTGAAATGTGGCTAGTATGACTGAGGCACTAAATTTTAAGTTTCGTTTAAATTTAAATTAACATAGCCAATGGCTAATGGCTGTCATATTGGACAGCACTGTTCTAAAAGCTGAATTGTTTTACATTTTATGTTTTGATCTACTGTCTTTCAATAATGAATTGATTTTCTGAGTTATGTTGAAACAGTTAAGATGTATTTTTTTCTATATTCTATCCATTTGAGCCAACACCATTTATTGAACAGATAATTTTCCTACCATATTGAGTGTCACTCTCATCAATCAAGTGACCGTATACACAGAGCTCCTTGTCGGATTGTCTGTTCTGCTCATTATTTATCTGTGCACCAGTACTGTATTAATTTATGTAGCTGCTTAGGAAGTCTTGATATGTGAAAGTGCAGGTTGTCCAGCTTGTTCTTAAAGATACTTCAACTATTCTTAGTTTTTTGCATTTTCATATAAGTATTTTAAATTGAGATATAATTGACTTATACCATTGTGTAAGTTTAAGGAATGTGTTGATTTGATATCCATAGACATTTTACAAGTAGCTTGTTTATTTACCCACATACATGCACACCTGAAATCTGCTGGGATTTTAATGAAGATTGTGTTGAGAGTATTAAAACAACTTGGAAAAAGTTGATGTCTTTAAAATAGTACATCTTCCAATCTGTGAATATGTTATTTTTGTTATTATTCTGTTCAGGGTATTTTCTAATTTTCATTGTGATTTGTCATCTGACCCTGGGTTCTGTAACAATCTATTGCTTAATTTCCAAATATTTGGAGATTTTGTTTGTTATATCTTTGTTCCTAGTTTCTAGTTTAATTTCTGTGTGGTCAGAGAACATAATCTGAATGATTGCAGTCCTTCAAAATTACTGAGGCTTGCTTTAATGGCTTAGCATGATCAATTCTAGTAAATATTCTACATGCACTTAAAAAGAATGCTAATTCTGCCATTTTAGGTCCAATGGTGTATGTTGGTCAGATCAAGTTTGTTAATTGTGTCAGTCACATCTACTATTATTATCTGGTGAATCTATCATTTGTTGAGAGAAGTGTATTAAATACTTCTGTTGTATTTATGGATTTATCTTTTAAAATTTCTCATAGCTATTATATTGCCTTTAAAAAAATTTGGACTAATTTGTATGTTTACCAGTTTCTAATATTTTCACCATCACTGGATGTTATCTTTAAAAATGTTTTGCCCGTGTTATATATGAAAAAACTATCCTCTTACTGTATACATTTAGATTTCTTAAATGACTAATGAAATTATTTTCATGTTCTTGATGGCAATTTTTTTTTCTTGCTTGGGACTTATCTCTCATGTATTTGACTATTTTTTTCCCTGCATGTATATTTGTTCCTTAATGGTTTATAATCAAGGATGCGTTTTAATTGACCCAGTCTCTCTGAAGATGCTCCAGACTAGCTCAATTTAGATTGACAGGCTTTGAGCATCGGTAATGCATTCTGTACGTGGGACCCTGTAAGGAACAAATAGATGTTTGCCCTCACTGTGGAACCCCATGCCCGAGTGAGGGTGAGGAGTGACCCAAGTCTACTGGAAGAATGCCAGAGGGAGTAGCCCCAAATTGTTACTCAAGAATTTGTCTAGTGCTCTTTTCACCATGAGTAAACAGTCACTGTTCTATGATACTTTTTTAGGTCTTGTTTTGGCTGAAGGCTTTTGCTCAGTACTGCTATCTTACGATTCTGTGCATGTTAACTGTTATTACGTCTTCCTTAGATCGAAGAACTTGCCCAGACTCTTTCTTGCAATTACAATCAGCCTTCCCCAGATGACATGAGTGTGGTTGACTCGTCTCCTGCTGCAAGTCCTCCAGCTAAGAAATGCTCCAAAGCCCAAGAAAGATGGCAGATGTCTGCAAAGAAGGCTCTTCTCTTGTGGGCTCAGGAGCAATGTGCCACGTAAGTAGCTGGTACATCAGAGGAGACCCACAGGGCAGCCGTACCCACCAACATGACCTTACTGGCCTCTAGGTCCGAAAATCGGGCCAGGTGGGGCTAGCACCACCTGAACATTCCCCAGTCATAAAAGAAAATATGCACTGCCCTCCTTGCTCACAGTGAATCTTCCAAATGTAAAAGTCCAACAGCTCAGTCACTCTTTGTTTTGAAGGTCAGAAGGTAGTATCATCTGGTTGAGTTACCTCACCCAGTGTTTAGGTGGACTGTTATTGAGGGGAAATAAAGTGGTCTTCAGATATCCTTTTCTTGAGGCACAATTGCCCTATGCATCTGAAAGGTGGATTTAGATTAAAAAGGTTTACCATTATAGGTACTCTTTAGAAGTCAGGACCATGTCTTCATTGACTGTGTGTCGCCAGAACTGACATAATGTGAGTTCAGGGTAGGTGCTCCATGAAAGTGCATTGAATGGATGCATGAACAAAGGAGTGAATAAATAACCAACACATGCAACTATTTCTTGGAACTGTCTGTCACCGCACTGCAAGACCATAGCCCCATTGTTTAGAAATTCATAGCTCAATAAGGAAACAGAGACATCCGAAACAAAGCGGGGATGATGAAGGCAAGCTAGTGCTCATAAATTCTCTTTTACAAAGAAAAATGTGTTTTGCTCTTGGGAGACATTACTTTTTCATCCAACTGCTAGGATGGAATTCAGGTAAAATAAGGAACTAGGATGTGGAAAAACTCACTGCAAGAGGAGCTGTCAGAGTTCAAAAGGCGTTCCCTGTCACATCATAGCATCATCTGCATACATAGAGACGTAAATATGTCACTAAGCCCTCTCAATGTCAGGCTTCTGAGTAACTCTTCCCATGAAAGTCCTCAGACGGTAACTGCCGCATTCAGCCTTACCATTTTTAATTGTCATTCATTCTGTATTCTCTGAGGGACCCAACATACGTGGCTTATGGGTTTTAAGTATATTAAATGAAGTTTTTCTGGAGTCTCTTAGACACAGTTGTACGTCAGTTTTCTAAATTTGTAAAATCCAAAATATAGCATGTGTGAAAAGCATTATTATATCATGTTCAGATTTGTTTAATTTATCCATAAATAAGCTTCAAACCCTTTCAGAATCCATGCATTTCATCCCAGTTCTTAAGTATCTCATCAGTTTATTTTAGTTTTGGCCATCACTGGTGGTATTATAAGGTAACTTATTTCAATATTCTGTGATCTCAGGGACTCATCAGATGTAAGATGACATTGTAAGAAATATCATATTTTCTTCTTTCTGAAGGAGATGCATTGGCCCCCACGCTGGCTTCTTAGTGACTCTGTCTGTTGGTCCCTCTGCAGGCTGGGCAGCAGCATGCTCTTGCTGGTGTTGGCTTCACTCCTCACGCAGAGCTGCCCTCACAGGCTGGTGCTGCAGTGCAGTGCAGGGGTGGGCTCTGGGCTGGCTCTGGTCCCCCCTCACTGTGGAGGTGGTCCGGCCGCACCCCCAGCCGCATGCCTCGCTCCCTTTGCGGGCAGGCTAACTGGTCTCCAAGCACACACTCTGAAGCCGGAGTCCTGGTGTGCGTCCTGGCTCTCAGCACTTCTGCCTGGTGGCCTGATGTCCTTCATTCTTTGTGTTAGTTTCCTCGATTATACAATTTGGACAACACTTAACACTTACTCGACAGGGCTGTTATGTGTTTTATAAGAACTTCTTTTTTTGAGTATTTGAAACAGCTTCTAGACACAGTAGGCACCATATAAATATTTGTTAAACAAGGTAAAAGTAAGTACACTGCAGTTTATCATAGAGTATAGGCTTTTTCCGCTAAAGAAGCCAGGAAAGCCTAGGTGGTTTGAAGCAGACTATTTCTCGAGTAGCTTTTACCATTTGATTCATACCTTAAATTAGCCCATTGAATTTCCTTGGTGTTTTTTATGGGATATTAAAGGAAACTCTAGTTCTGGAGTATTTCCCACACTTTGTAGGCAACTATAGTCTTTTATATCTTTACTGATCCTTCAAATACGGAACAGTACTTAATTGAGTGACTTGAAATATATATGTTAAGCACCTTCATATGCCAGGTTCTGTTAGGGATGAATCGATGGTGATGGACAAGACAGGCAAGGCCTCTGCTCTCAAGCAGATGAATAACTATGATAATTACAGTTGGCAATTAGGTTAGGAAGGACTTAACGACTGAGGATGCCCAGGGTAGGGAGAGGGTCGCCTTTGTCTTAGGTGGTCATGCAGCACCTTTCTGAGGAGGGGACCTCTGAGCTGAGAGCTGAAGGAGTAGGCCTCTGGTATGTGAGGTTCTGGGAGAAAGAGCATGCAAGCAGGATTAAAAGGAACATGGCTGTTGAGAAACAGATATGAGGCCAGTGTGCCTGCAAAACTGTAAGAGGGGAAAGAAGGTGGGAGAGGTAGGCAGGGTCCAAATCATGTAAGGCCTTGTTGGCCAAAGTGGTGAGGGATGTTATTCTAGGTAGAGTTACAAGCTTTGAGTGTTTTTTTTTCCTCCAAATACAATGTTTTTATTGTGATAAAATATATATATAACAGAAATTTACCATTTTAATCATTTTTGAGGTATAGTTAAATGGCATTAAGTACCTTTACACTGTTGGGCAACCATCACCACTGTCCATCTTCAGAACTCTTATCATCTTTCAAAATTGAAACTCTGTACCTGCTGAACTACTCCCTATTCCCTCTTTTCCCAGGCCCTGGCAGCCACCATTCTACTTTTTTTTTTTTTTTTT